GTTGAGTTCGAATTCCAGTCGAATCCATTACATTCATTTATACCTGCTAACTTGGGAAAGGTATGAATCCTCCCCACCCCCAGCTATGGATTAATACCAGTACAGACCAGGTTCTATAGCCTTGGATGGCAACTAGTCTACCGCAAAAAGAAATAACAACCTACTGCAGGAAAAAATCTGCCTCGTCAGTCATGTATCGAAAGATACATGATCGCCTAAGCGTGTATCACGCATGTAAATAACTGACTAAGGAAAGTAAAAAGGAAAAGATAATCCATTCCTTCTTAAGGATTAATGAAATTACAGCTTAAAATATCATATGACAAAGACTTGACTTAGAAATGGAAGGCATGTTCTTTTAAATATAAAAATAATTAAGAAATTATTCTTCTGTTAACTTCATGTCCGCACGCACCATTTGAAAAACATTGATTAAAAAAAAAAAAAAAGATTGATCTTACAAGGGAGTTTACTCCGTATCTTACTTCCCTCCCTTGATATTTGAATGTAAGGGAGGTAATATTTAACATTATTCGCCATTTTTATGCGAATGGATTAATGTTTTTCCCCCAGTATACGGACAATTTATCGATTATAAGCGCGAAAAGTGGAAATGGCGAACCGAGTTCAAATTATAACCTACGTTCACTTAATAAAGACACGAATCTATCTTTTGTCTCCTTAGTTACGGGTTAAATATCACGATAACCTCATCTTGGTTGGCAGTCAGTCTAAGAGAAAGAAAACTTAAATTCCAAACCATGCAGAAAGAAATAGGAAAACACTATTCCAATTTCTTTCCTAAGAAGGCATGACAGTTCACAGATGATAAGGGTAAAGGAAGCTATGGAGAGCTATGATCGCCCAAGTTCTGAGCGAATATGGATTAGAAAAATTCTTTGTAAATATTTTTCGTTAGAAGCAAAACAAAATCAAAATATAATCGTGTAGAATCTCCCACAACACAACCAGCCTTACCTCTTTGTAGGAAATACACTCTTTCTATCTAGTAAGCCAAAATCTACCTTCAGACAATATAACAAGTATTCATTGGTCAATCACCTCCAATCTGGCTTGCTGATTGGTCAGTTCCGACCAATCAAACCGCCTGCACGCGACCAAGCTGTTTTCCCGCTCTTATGCTGGGAGCCACTCAGTGATTATATAAACAGAAAACGTGTGAATCTTCCGAGTAGTAATTACCAAGGTCCAAGATGTAACATTCACCGACTCCCGTCTTAGTCATTGCTGACCAGACGTTAAAGACAATTACCAACTTTATGCAGTCAGTAACACGCATTCACAGAGAACCTTCCAAAATACTCCACGTCACTACGAATCACAAATTTGCCGCGCACGAAGATACATCGCTGGCTCATGCTCGATCAAGATTCAATCAACTCTGTGTACATCATTTCTCAACTTTGCTTATCTAAAGTGAATCAAATTCACTACTTATTAAGTAAACTCTACGAACGAACGACCTTAGAAAAATATTACAGTTAAAGGTAGATCACTCTTAAAAAAACTCTTTCTATAAGACACTTAATATCAACAATGGCAAATATCGAAACAAACCAAAAATACTCCAAATGAACGAACAATTACGAAGAGAGACATTCTGAAATCTGAAGAAACTGCATACACATTTCGCCTACACAACATACATCAATTATCCTGTCTGTATATTGTTTGATTTGTATATAAATGTTGTATTGATTTCTAATTGAATATGTCTCGTTTTTCAATTGCATTTTTAATTTCGTTTATCTATTTGTTTGGGGATGCAGAAAGTCACTCAAATTCCTTCTGATTCTTTCTAACGTAAATACTAAATTCTGCACGTCCCCAACAATCGATATTTTCAATTGATTTTCTGTTTGAAGCCATCACGAAATGCAACTTAAATGGCAATGAAAACATTAGCTCTTTCCTTATAAGGCATTCACTGACCTAGTTGCCAGCGCTATTGATTGACTCAGTTGACATTTATAAAATCTTTCTCTAAAAACAGCTGTTCAGGAAAATATAATTCTCAGGTTTATCCCTTGTTTCTTGTTTAGGGTTACTTCTAACATCTCCCCTTAAACACTGAAATTTATACTTTTATTGGGTTTCCAGTTACTTCTTTCTTTCTCTTTCACTACCAGTAGCCCTGTTGTAACGTAGGGTAGGTTACTGAATAGAATAACCAAACGAAGGTTGGTAATGAGCGATAATTTATGACACGAAGAACGCATATAAGATTCGCCAGCGGCGCGTAGAAGAATCAACTGCTAGAAGTGAGTTAAGTGAATTCCATAATGGATCTCCAACTGCAGGATATCTACCAACCGCCCCACGCGGTCAGATGTGGCACAAGGCCGAACTTAATGTCGGGTTTCTAAAAATTCCCCATAGACCCCGTATAAAACTGGATCGGGTAGCTGTTTCCCGGGACGAGACTCTGGCCTTCAACATAGCCCCGTCTGGGGATCCTCTCTGCCCAGAGGCAGAGAGTTTGAAAAGCACAGCTGGAGACTAATCTCCAACGGAAGTCCTACAGTATTTACTACTGTATTTATGTGAATGGGAACATACCCATTATCGTCCGTAGGTATGCTACAACAAGCCCTTTGCGTCTTAGTGGAGTTATCTCCTTGCTTCGGGCAAATTGATTAAAAAAATAGTCCAGTAGCTGTTATCTCTCTTTCCAGCATTGATGGCAGTTTCCTTCCTAAATTTTTCTTCGCAGTCGTGTGGAAGGTCAACATCTTGATTGTGTCTTTGCTCTTCGACTTACATGTGATATCGATTTTAGTTGTTGCCGCTGTTGAAAATCTTCAAGTGATTTAGTTTCTGGTATTTGTCAAATTTCTTGGCTGGTGAATCTTATTAGATTACCACCCTTCTGAGGATAATAACGGGCGGAGAGACATTGATTTACCGCCATTTCACTGATGGTAATCACAGATTTGATAACCTCTTCCTCTTTTCTTATAGACTTTGACAACCACGAGACGCCCTCTTCTTATTCTGTCGGCTTGTAAGTAACTCAGAGACACATACTTTGAAATCTTCACAAATTTTCCTTTTCGTAACATGTCTGTTTAATATATGTATATATATATATATATATATATATATATTTATATATATATATATGTTAATGCTTTTTGTTTAAATTCAACGAACAGACTGAGATAGATAGATAATGAACAGACTGAGATAGAGGGATAGAGAGATAATGAACAGACTGAGATAGATAGATGTGAGTCATGGCAAAATCTGAATTTAAACAAACGAGTATTAATAAATATAATAAACGGTCATGTTACAAAAAAATGAGAAACGTATTTAAAGTTGCGAAATATTTAAAGCAACCTTAAGTCTGTATTTCTGACGTAGTTACGTGCCGACAGAAGGGAATGCAGAAAAAGGTTTCAAAATCCTAGAGGATCAGCAGTTCATTGGCTTGGGTCACTGACCAAATTTGTCATGAAACTGCGACGGCATCACGCAAAAGGTCCTTCGCACTGGACAAGGGTGAGATCTAATTATTCAGAGTCAGATGGAAACCGCGAAAGCCCATAGACTAGCGTCTTTTATTGAACAGCATAATTGTTTGATATAGTTTTCTCGCAAACAATACTGTCGGACTCTTAAAACGCTGTTACCTCAAACTCACTCTTCCGGTTACCTACAGCCTTTTACTCTGTCACTCTGGACTCGACTCCTCGGTCTTGCTCTCTCGGGTCTCTACGTAGCCGTAGTATATGTATATACTGGGTGAGTCCATTTGTGTAAAAAGGTGAGAACCCCTGAACACTATCTCAGTCTGTTCATTATCTATCTATCTATCTATCTATCTATCTATCTATCTATCTATCTCAGTCTGTTCGTTATCTATCTATCTATCTATCTATCTATCTATCTATCTATCTATCTATCTATCTATCCTCTCAGTCTGTTCGTTATCTATCTATCTATCTATCTATCCATCTATCTATCTATCTACCTCAGTCTGTTCGTTATCTATCTATCTACTATCTGTTCTTATCTATCTATCTCCATGTCTGTTCGTTATCTATCTATCTATCTATCTACCTCAGTCTGTTCGTTATCTGCCTATCTATCTATCTATCCATCTATCTATCTATCTATCTATCTGTCTTATCTATCTATCTATCTATCTATCTATCTATCTACCTCAGTCTGTTCGTTATCTATCTATCTATCTATCTACCTCAGTCTGTTCGTTATCTATCTATCTATCTATCTACCTCAGTCTGTTCGTTATCTATCTATCAATCTATCTACCTACCTCAGTCTGTTCGTTATCTATCTACCTCAGTCTGTTTTTATCTTCTACAAATACTATATATCATGCAACCTTTGAAGATCTACTTTTGAAGGTAATTAGGCTACATTAAATCTACCTATCTATCTCAGTCTTTTCATTATCTCTCTATCCCTCTATCTCAGTCTGTCCATTATCTATCTATCTATCTATCTATCTATCTATCTATCTATCTATCTATCTTCGGTCTTGCTCTGTCGGGTCTTCACGTATCCGTAGTATATGTATACACTGGGTGAGTCCATTTGTGTAAAAAGGGGAGAAACCCTCAACACTATCTCAGTCTGTTCCTTATCTATCTATCAATCTATCTATCTCAGTCTGTTTTATGTTCGATTTTGCCATGACTCACATGAGCTCGCCAATATCATTTGCAGGACAGATGTATCAAAGGCCATTAAATATTTAGTAAAAAATGTCCACATCTCGCAAAAATGTGGTGATTCCAACAACAAGTTTAAGTCTACGAGATCTGATGAAAAAATGGCTCTCTCTACGATCTGCATGTTCCATTTGCTCGTAGCCATTTTAAATCATTAATCAGAGAAAACGGTGTCATAGCGCTGACATTTTTAGATACGTCTGAACAAGTTTGATGCTATGCAAAGCATCCATCTGAGAGTCTCGATCTGACGAGAATATTTAAGAATATAACTTTAGTTCATAAGTTAATATTTTGGTCTTGTAATAAATAGATAGATAGATAGATAGACAGATAGATAGGAACAGACTGAGATAGATAGATAGATAATGAACAAACTGACATAGATAGATAGATACATACATACATACATAAATAGATAGATAATAAAAAGACTGATATAGATAGATATGTACAGATTGATATAGATAGATAGATAGATAATGAACAAACTGACATAGATAGATAGATACATACATACATAAATAGATAGATAATAAAAAGACTGATATAGATAGATATGTACAGATTGAGATAGATAGATAGATAGATATGAACAGTTTGATTCTATGAGATAGCGGTTCCTGGGAAGCTGTTCGAATGTAACTGACGTCTTGCAAATCGTATGAGGAGGGAATGAGGATGATTTCATCGTTTAGGTGAAAAGGCGGCTCTTAGCCGTAAAGGATAATGAATAGACGAAGATAGATAGATAATGAACAGACTGAGAGAAATAGAGAGACAGATAGATAACGAACAGACTGCGATAGATAGATAGATAGATAGATATGAAGAGACTGATGTAGATAGATAGATAGATAATGAACAGACTGAGATACATACATACATACATACATACATACAGTGAAAAAACTGAGATAGGATAATGAACAGCCTAAGATATATAGACAGATAATGAGCAGACTGAGATAGATAGATAGATAGATAGTGACATATATATATATATATATATATAGAGAGAGAGAGAGATAATGAACAGACTGAGATAGATAGGTAGATTTAATGTAGCCTAATTACCTTCAAAAGTAGATCTTCAAAGGTTGCATGATATACGAGTATATACTGTAGATAGATAACGAACAGACTGAGGTAGATAGATAACGAACAGACTGAGGTAGGTAGATAGATAACGAACAGACTGAGATAGATAGATTGATAGACAGACAGATAACGAACAGACTGAGATAGATAGATAGATAACGAACAGACTGAGGTAGATAGATAACGAACATACTGAGGTAGATAGATAACGAACAGACTGAGGTAGATAGATAGATAGATAGATAGATAGATAACGAACAGACTGAGGTAGATAGATAGATAACGAACAGACTGAGGTAGATAGATAGATAGATAACGAACAGACTGAGGTAGATAGATAGATAGATAATGAACAGACTGAGATAGTGTTCATGGGTTCTCACCTTTTTATACAAATGGACTCACCCAGTATATACATATACTACGGCTACGTGAAGACCCGAGAGAGCAAGACCGAAGAGTCGAGTCGAGTCCAGAGTGACAGAGTAAAAGTCTACTGCAGAAAGAAATGACAACCTTCTGCGGGAAAAAAAATCTGCATTGTCAGTCATGTATCGAAAGATACATGATCGTCTAAGCGTGTATCACGCATAGAACACCACTGATGTGTAAATTATTTAACTAAGCATTTTTTGAAAAATTCTTGTTTGCATAAATAATACACACACATTATACGCGCGCACACACACACACACACACACACACACACACACACATATATATATATAATATCATAAAGATCAACACCTAGCAGCAACAGATTGGAAATAATAGATCGATGCGTTATATATATATATATATATATATATATATATATATATATATAAACAGGATGTTTGTGTGTGTGTAACAAATGCATGGCCGCAATTTTCGACGGATTTGCACCAAACTTTACATGCACATGCTCCAAGCTTAGCAGGAAGGCCAAGACCGACTTTGCATTTCCCAACTCCCATCGATAGTGGGAATAATCGATTTTTTCATGCTTCTACGGCAATTTTCATGTAAGTTTGCGTCCATTTTTAACTGGCCAGAGTGAGAGCCTATTTTCTATCTGCCACGAATAGGCAAATTAAGATTCTGTTGGCCATCGTGAAATTTTAACAGCTGACTGACACGAATGTTAACAAGTGGGAAAAAAAATTAAATTTGCATGGCACTTTACTCCAATTGGCTCATTCGCTTGCTTAAACTTTTAACGTTGATTCTGATTCCGCAGAACTGGGATGGGTGTGAAAAAAATTTGTTGTTAACTTTATTTTTTCATTCGGTTTTCCAGTTACGAGTCCTTTTTTTAAGCTGATCGTTTTGTGTTCATTTTGTTTAGTTCTTTTATTTAAATTAGATTTAATGTTAGTATAGAGCTTAAAAAAAATTCGCAGTGTGAGATAGGCAAAAGTAAGGCAACATCATTTGGATTAAATAAACTCCTTTAAAGGCAAGGAAAAGCAAAAATATCTTAATTCAAAATATATAGCGATTGCTGTATGAGTCATACGATTTTTTTTTTTCAAGCACGGGCAACGCCCGGTCATGCTTTTCATATATATATATATATATATATATATATATGTCATAAAAAATCAACATCCAAAGTGAGCAAACAGATGGAAAATAATAGATCGATGCGTTATATATATATATATATATATATATATATATATATATATATATATTTGGGTAATAATATTTCACCTATCAAATTAAAAATAATTTGCAGGATTTTCAAACCACCAGATGGATAAGAAAAATATCAAACGAGGCTGGCTTTTAAACCAAAATTTAAAAATACAGGCAAATGCCCGGAAAAAGAATTTGAAAAGAAAGGAAAAGCTTATGTAAGAAAAAAAAGACATATTTTTATTATCTTGTGAATTACATTTATAATAGAATTTTTGAAAAGAGAAGATAGAAAATAAAGAAAGGAGAAGAAAGAATTTATTGAGAGAGTTTTAATATCTGGACCCGGGCAATGGTGAAAGGAGATACATAAAGTTGACTGAGCTAATTTATATAGAACCGATTTTGAAAAATTGGGGAAACGCATTCATAAAAAAAAAATACTATAAATCCAATTTTAATGGATATAATAGATTTAAAAAGAAAAAACTGGAATTATTAATATATTAAAATGCTATATATATATATATATATATATATATTGTGTATATTTAGCAGCAATTTTTCATTGATGCATGTTTCATTAAATAATATACACAAGTTTTGTCTATTTAAGTAAGTTCCTTTCATATTCCTAGCAAAAAAATTAGGTTAATCATATACTACACTAAATCTAGTATATCCAACTTAATTATTCGTAATGATTCTTTATATATATGATTTTATTAGCGATTTTCAAAAAAAACAGATTTTATTCAAATGCCCTTTGGGATTTTGTATCTCCAATGGATTAAATAATATTTATGTTGGTCACACCACAAACTCGCTTTCACGACGCTTGACTCTACATTTGAATGATAACTCAAACATTTTTTAGGCATTTAAAACAACATACTTGGCCGCCTACACAATTTCGGAAAATCCTTGTTGAAAATACAAGTATACTTAAACATGAAAACAAAAAACAAAAACTAAAAAAATTTGAAGCTATATACATAGAACAGTTGAAACCTAACCTGAACAAAATAAACTACGAAATCTCCACAAATATTCTTAAATGCCTATAATTGATAACAGAAGCCATTGGTTTATACCAACGGCTTCCCATACTTAATACTTCTCGTTTTCACTCTCGCGTGGTCATGTGTGACGTCACGAGCTGCGACGCGATTTTCGCTTCCGCGTCTCGTATACACGAGTTAGTCGTTGCTTTGAAATTTTTCATGCAACAAAAACAGACTATCATTATTGTTTCGTCCGTGTATTGGTTGATATATTGAAAAGTAATTGTCATCTTTGATAATGGCTTATGTAAGCCGAAAGCTTAGATTGGATTAAAACATGTATCAATATGGTGATTTCCTTTCGTCTTTTCAATGATAATGTTATTAAGTTTATCAGACAATATGAAAGGAACTTACTTAAAATAAATAGACAAAACTTGTCTATATTATTTAATGAAACATGCATCAATATATATATATATATATATATATATATATATATATATATATATATATATATATATATATATATATAATAGAGAAAAAAATTTAAATTCTATTTAACCCTTTTCATCATTTTCGAATTCTTCATTTAAAATTATAAAAAAGATTAAACAGTTAACGTATTAAACTATTATTATCTAAAGGAAATGAAAATCATAGAAAAATTTTATTTTTAAAAATTAAATAAAAATTGATAAGCAAAAGAAAAATCTTTTTCATTAAATTTCTGCAAAAATATACAGAAAAAATATAGTCATGGTTAAATTGATAAAACTAATGCTAAAAATATAATTATTTTAATTATATTTTATTTTTTGCTTATATATAAAATTTATAAATTTTATTATATTTTTTTATATTTTATTTTATTTATTTTTATTTTATTTAATTGTTATATCTTTTTTCTTTTTTAATAAACTTATCAAATTTTCGCATTTATATATTTTAATACAAATAATAATTAAAAGTTACTTTAAAAAAATTATTTTGCTTTTTTCTACATGGATTTAATTTCTTTTTGGAGATTAAAAAAAAAATTGAAGATTTTTGGCGATTAACAAAGATGGCCGAAAGAAGCATGCTCCAGGATTGAACAACGGTCAATTATCAAGTTTTTTGGTTGCTATATATATATATATATATGTTGAAATTCATAGGAGAATGTCAACTGTGTGTGGTGCCACATGTTTCAAAAAAAAAAATGTCTATTTCAAAGATGGGCTAAATTATTTTAAAGAAGGACGGGCAATTGTTTAGGATGAATGTAATTTACAGGCCTGGGAAATTAATCAGCTCCATCAAGTGAAGTCTCTAATAGGGGCCTCGAATAAAGTCAATGACCTCATTCAGTCTGACAGAACTACTACCTCTTATCACTGCTGAGGCAGATCAAGAAAGACAAAAAAGAACAAACGCAGGGTCATCAGTCAGAAAATTTTGTATCATCTTGCATCATGACAACGCAAGGCCTCACACAGCAGCCCAAACGGTGCAGACTATCAACGACCACTGGGCTGGGAACTGCTCCCTCATCCCCCTTGTAACCCAGAAAAATCTATCAGAAAATCATTTCTGTTTGGTCCCTTGAAAGCGTTCATTATCTACTGAAGTTTAAAATTTCCGATGAAGTCAAAAGTGTTTTGTTTTAATTAATTTTGAGACATCAGTCCAAACATTTTTACGCTGATACATACATAAATAATGTGCACAAATGGGAAAAAACAAAACAAAAAATCAAGACTACGTTGAAAAATAACAAAAAAACCAGTAAGCCTTAAAATCTTTATTAAAAAATTTTTATACCGAAAAAATTTTATTTATTTTTTATTTCCTTGCAATGACCTAGTATATGAAATATTATATTATTACAACATAACAATACTATTATATTATTAAATAATCTCTCTATAAAAAATATAATATTACTTTATTATTACTTTTTCTACTAATTTTTGCTTTTAATACAGGCATCTGTATTTTTGCGTTATGTCTGGATTTCAGTGACAAAAAAATATTTTCATTTATATTTAGTTCGTTAATATTTATATATTTTTTTTATTTCAATTTTCTAAAAGGGTTATCTATTTTCATAAAAAATATATTACAATTTAATTTCCTATTTAAAGAAAAATATTAATTAATGATCAAGTATAAATATGGATGATTCATCTTTCTTCATTTTATTTTTTTTTTCTTTTTAATTTTTATTTAAGGAAAATATTTGACAGTGGCTTTTCAAAAATTTTTTTTTTTTTAGAAAATTTTTTATTTTTCAAAACTTTTTTTTTGTATAATTTTTAGATGTATTTTTCATTTTTTTTTTTTTTCTTTTTAACATGGGTCATATAAATTTTCTACAAAGGGTTTGTCTTATTCATTTCCATTTTACAAAATTTTTTATTTTTTTTTTTAAGTATCTATTTATTTAGATATTTAGATATTAAATTTATGTGTCGCGATGGAATCATATTTTTTTAAAAAGTAAATAATTATGATATTATACTCTACTGTTTGAATCGAGCACAGTTTTTTAAAAAATTCTAATTGCTAAGACTACCAATCTTTTTTTAACATTATTTTTTTTTTCTTATTATTTAATACATATATATATATATATATATATTTCCATATATATATATATATATATATATATATATATATTTCATGTGTGTTTCTGTGTGTATGTATAAAGGGAAAAGGTTTCTCATAATCGAACGAGAGAAAAAATTGTATTTTAAAAAGAAAGAAAATGCAAAAGTTTTTTTTTTGGATAATGTGGATTATTTTTCAAAAATATATTCTTTTTTTAATTTCCATAATTTTTCAAACGTGTTTCCAGTCTCCTTTCTGAGAATCAGGCAAAATTTGGATATTTCCACATATTAAAAAGCAATAAATTTTTCTTATTTTTTTCGATGTAAAATATTCTCGATATTAGAAATTCTTTTTTTATGTGTTAATTTGAAATGTTTCTTTCTTGAACTGGCAGTGAAAAAAATTCTGCGTGAAAATTATAAAACAATTAAGACTGGTCCGAGAAAAAAACAGGAAGATATCTATATTCTTTATCTTTTAATTTCCCCTTTTCTGTTCGTTTTCTTTCTGTTTCCATTTTTATTTTTTTCATTTTGTCAGCATTTTCGTACGCATTCGTTTAAAACCTCTCCATACATACATTTCTTTGTCATATTTGAAAATTATATTTTGTATTATAAATCCTGTTTAAATATACAATCAGACACACACACACACACACACACACACACAAACACAAAAAAAAATAAGAAAAAAACAAAAAAATTACACACTTCCTTTTTTTTTTAATCCTTCACGTATATCCTTTTGTATTTAATAGCTTTGGTAATAAAATGGTGCTTGCAAATGGATGGAAAAAAGTTCCTTTTTTTTTTGTTTCTTGTTCTTTCTTTTTCTTCTGTAATGCAGTCCTGTGAAGAGGGGATATGATACAGGAAAAAAATATTTTTAGTCTTTTTTCTTTTTTTTTTTTTCGTTTTTTTCTAAAAAATATTTCCCAGATGTTTCACCAATTATCATTCATGGAATGCTAAAATCTTTTAAATTCGACAAAATTTCAAAAATAGCAATTTTTTTTAATTGAAAAACTTTCAATCTTTCTTTTAGAATTTAATTTCGTTTAACAAAATAATTTATATTCCTGGGGACCGTTTCCATTCCAGAAACGATTTTACGTTGCAGAATATGGAACGGATCCCATTTATATTTGAGAAAAGAGTTTGAAGAAAGAGGAAGGTGTTTTTTTGTGTTTTTTGCTGGTTTATGTGTGTTTTTTTTGGCGGGATTCCGTTTTTTTTTTTTTGAGGAAAAGAGAGAAAAAAAAAGATCACAATAATAAGTTCACTATCTGTTTCTGGTCAAAAGCAATCCTTTTTTGTGTGGTTGAAAAATTCCATAATTCTTTTTTCAGATTGCCCGCCGGATTTTATAATTCCTCATGCGCGAAATTTTTTCTGAATTTTCTACCCCGATATTATAGTGTGGATCAAAATCCAACTGTCTCATTTTCCTTTGAAAAAGTTCCTTCCTTCCCTAACGACCAGTCCTTCATTTTCAAATCACCAACCCGATACCTCCACAATGGAAATACATAGACACTGGTTAGTCTGATCATGCAAAAGTTAAATCATTGTCGTCCTGGTAGAAGAAAGAGTGAAATGGTAAACCCTAACCCTGATTAGGGAACAAGATATTCCACAGATACTTTCCTTCAATAGACATGGAAGGAGTAATTTCCGGGCGACAGTTGATATATATCTACTCCTTATACTTAGATAGATAGATAGATAGATGTGAACAGACTGAGATAGATATATAGATAGATTGATAGATATGAACAGACTAAGTTAGATGCGAACAGACTGAGGTAGAAATAAATCAAGTTAGATAAAGATGGAGTTAGATAGATAAATAGACAGATATGAAGAGAAGATAGATAGATAGATAGATATGAACAGGCTGAATTAGATGTAAACAGACTGAGGTTGAAATATAAAGTTACATACAAACTGAGGTAGATAGGGACAGGTTGAAATAGATAAATAGATATGAACAGATTTAGATAGATAAATAGATAAATATGAACAGAAAAAATAGATATGAATAGACTGCGATTGATAGAAAGATAGATAGATATGGATAGAGTGAGATACATTGAAAATATACAATGAGATAGATACATAGATATGAACAGATATATATATATAAATATATATACATGAACAGACTATATATAGATAGAATATATAGGGAGATATATATATATATAAACAAAAATATATAGATATAGATATAACAGACTGAGATAGATATGAATAGAATGAGATTACAGACTGTGATATATATATATATAACAGACTGATATGGTATATAAAATAGATATGAACAGACTGATATATATATATATATATATATATATATATATATAGATAGATAGATATGAACAAACGGTGGTAGGTAGATATGAATAAACTGAAATAGATTGAAATTATAGACTGAGATAGATAGATAGATATGAACAGACTGAGATAGATATATTTATAGATAGATAGATATGAATAGACTGAGATAGATATGAATAAACTGAGATACATAGATAGATATAAATAGATAGATATGAATAGATTGAGATAGATTGAAATTATAGACTGATAGACAGAAAGATAGATAGATAGATATGAATAGACTGAAATAAATAGGTAGATAGATATAAACAGACTGAGATAGAGAGAAAGATAAATAGATAGAAAGATAGATAGACAGATAAATAGATAGATAGATAGATAGATAGATAGATATACATAGAAATACATGGATAATGAACTTACGGTGATAGATGATGTCTATGATTATGCATGTATTACGAACTTCTGGCTGAAACTAAACACAATGACGACGCTGGGGAAATCCACTCAATGGGATCGGGTTTGTTTATTTGTGTTGGGGGTAGGGCTGAGTGGGTGTGCGAGGTAATGTTTGTTAGTGGGAAAGAAAGAGAAAAGAGTTTGTTTACGCCCAGTTAATCGAATCTGTTTGAATTGGAAATAATAAATAAATATTTTCAAAAGAGCATGTGTTTTCGTGTTCCGTGTGAAAGCTAATCCCTATT